ATAAAACTCTGCTTATATGAAAGAACAAAACCAGCTGATAAAAGCTGATAAAAGTCAGCTGTTGCTTATAAACGCGCGGTGGGGACCGCAATTGAGCAGGCGATTTATTAGTCTGGGCGCTCTGTGCAAGTGAAGAGGCAAGCCCCAGGTCTGAATCGGGAAGAGAGGGGCGGGATTGTCGGGGGTACATCCCAGCCCGCAGGATGGCAAACGGGCCTCGCGGAGCTCCTCGGCAGGCCCCCAGCAGCAAAGCTCTCCCTTTCTTGCCTCCCCTGAAAGCCCTAAGAAGAATCGGTCCCTGGTGGCATGAATGTGGATATGGCACTCTGAGGCCCCGTAAACCTAAGCTACAACTGCCCCACTGGGACAGAGACAAGGACATTCCTGGCAGAAGTTAGAACCAGTGTTGGGAATGAGGGAGAAGCAGATGCAGTGAAGTGATAAAGACCTGGTTGTCCCCCAAGGGGCAGTCTTTGTGGCTACTCCACTCTCCTCCATTCTACTCCACCATCACCTCCCTGTGCTGGCTGCCACTGATTCTCAGGATTAAGGTCGTGTTATAAAGAATGACCCTGGAGCAAAAGTAATGCTTGTTAAGAAAGCAAACTTTTGGGCGCAGCGTGACAGCATAGTGGCTAAAGTCCTCGCCTTGCACGCGCCAGGATCCCATATGGTCGCCAGTTCTAATCCCACTGGCCCTGCTTCCCATCTGGCTCTCTGCTTGTGGTCCAGGAAAGCAGTCAAGAACAGTCCAAAGCCTTGGGACCCTGCACCCGCATGGGAGACCCGAAAGAGCTCCTGGCTCCTGGCTTTGGATTGGCTCAGCTCCAGCCTTTGCGGCCGCTTGGAGAATAAACCGTCGGACAGAAGATCTTCCTCTCTGTCTCTCCTCCTCTCTGTATATCTGCCTTTCCAATAAAAGATAAATAAATAAATAAATTAATTAATTAAAAAAGCAAACTTCTGGGCCTGGCGCAATGACTCAGTAGGCAATACTCTGCCTTGCAAACACCAGGATCCCATATGGGCACTGGTTCTAATCCCGGCAGCTCCACTTCCCATCCAGCTCCCTGCCTGTGGCCTGGGAAAGCAGTCGAGGATGGCCTAAAGCCTTGGGTCCCTGTACTCAGTGGGAGACCCAGAAGAAGCTCTTGGCTTCTGGCTTGGGATCAGCTCAGCTCTGGGCCATTGCGGCCATTTGGGGAGTAAACCAGCAGATATAAGATCTCTTCTCTATTTCTCCTCTTTGTGATCTGCCCTTAAATAAATAAATAAATAAATAAATAAGATAAAACTAAACTTAAAACGAAGGCAAGCTGCCTAGCTCCTTCCACATGGCTGCATCCATATCCCTGGGGCTGGGAACTCGCATGCCTAACCAAGCAGGTGTCCGTATCAGAACCATGGAACCCAGAAGGAGCCTTACAGACACGACGCAGGTGCAGAGAATGCCTGGAAGGGGTAGCCCTGTTGTTCCTACAGGAGGGCTCTTTTCTCAGACAACCCAGGCTTCACTCCAGCCACTTGACTATTACACGGCTAAAAACAGAGTGGCTGGCCAGGGTGCAGCCACCCCGCGAGAGGCTTGGAGTGGCCACTGCCAAGATGGAGGGGGTGGCTTGGCTCTGGAAGAGCTGTGTCCCATACACGGCTGGGTATTCCAAAATCCTGGCTCTTGTGTCAGCTGAGAAGTCAGGTGAGTCCTTGCTGCCCACAGTGCTGTGGACGAAAAGCCTTCTACCAGCGCCAAGAAGACGCCGGTGCCAACCCCAGCCATGCCGCTGAGAAGGGCGCACTCAAAAAAAAATGTTGGTTTCGCCATTTGTCTCATGGAGGTTAACTCTGCTCCATTGTTTCAATAACAACAAAGATATTTGAAAAAATATTTTTAAAATAAACAATCAAAACGAGAGATGAAAGAATATAGAGTGCAGAGCTGTGAGTTTGACGACTCCTAAATCTTCCGTGGATTCCAGGCCCTTACATGTTTATAAATCCACCAGAAGCCTCCAGGCCACAGTCCTGTGAGAACACCCGGCATCCACAAAGGAGATTGAGAGCTGGCCTGACACCCCTGCCCCAGGTACTGGGGACTCTGTTTCCCCCAGAGCTCCTTCCCCTCCTGCCCTGCTCCTGCCCTTTCCTGGCCTTCTGGGGACGGGGGGATTTCAAACAGCCCCGCTCTCCCCGAGCCTGGGAGGGCACCTGGCTCTCAACCTGCCCCTGGGCAGCAGGATCTGGAACAGGCATCCCGCACCTTGGGACAACCCTTTCTGTGGTAGTGGATGGAGCAGGAAAAGGGGCACCAATGTTCATTTCCTCTTGACTGTGTGTCTCTCACAGAGGCAGGGTTTGGACCTAGCCCTCGGAAGCAGAGGAAACAGCTCTTACCCATCAGGCATACAAGGACAAACAGAACACCATTCCAGCAAAAACAGCAGCAGAGTTTATTCTTGTCAGGGGAGGAGAGAGGAAGCATCTCACAGAGCGACCAGTAGACCTGGTAGACTTGGGGGCTCTGGAACTAGCCTGAACACACTCCCCACCCCGCAAGGGGCTGGTTAAGGAAACTGTCTTAAAAACCAGGGGCTGCATCATGACTCCGACCTCCCAGTGCCAGGATCCCATAGGGATGCTGGTCCATGCCCCAGCTGCTCCACTTCCCATCCAGCTCCCTGCTTGTGGCCTGGGAAAGCAGTTGAGGATGGCCCAAAGCCTTGGGACCCTGCACCCACGTGGAAGACCCAGAAGACACTTCTGGTCCCTGGCTTTGGATCAGCTCAGCTCCAGCTGAGTGAGGAGCCGAGTGGGGAGTGAGCCGGTGGATGGAACATCTCTCTCTCCCCTCTTTAAATACATCTTTCAAATCTTTTAAAGCCTTAAAATACAAAAAAATAAGGAGCCTATGCTGTGGCATAGGTTAAGCAATCTCCTAGCACACCTGCATCCCACATGGGTGCTGACTCATATCCCAGCTGCTTCACTCCATCTCCCTGTTGACGGCCTGGGAGAACAGCACAAAGTGGCCAACTGCTGAGCCCCTGAGCCCACGTGGGAGACCTGGCTGAAGCTCCAGCACCCCAGCTTCGGCCTGGCCCAGCTCTGGCCACTGCAGCTGTGTGGGGAGTGGACCCAAGGATCAAACACCTTTCTCTCTACCCCCTATCCATAGCTTTTTCTTTGAATCTTTAAAAATAACTAAGGAAGCTCTAAGTGTTTATTTAGAGAAAACAGCAGAATAAGGTAAGTGGAAAATACAAGATCCAATACAGTATATGGCGTGCTGTGTTCCTGTCTGCATAAAAACGAGTCACTGGCATATCGGCATGTAGTGTGAGAACAAACCACTCCCTAACCTAGTGGCTCCCACATTCATCACCTCGGGTTAAGCGGGTGGTGGGGTGGGGGGGGCAGCACAGTTCCACTCTTGCTGCTGTCCCAGGTCCTAAAGAGGTTGCAGTAAAGGAGGCGGGAGCAAGGATCAGCCTGGGAACCCACTCGCTCCATTCGCGGCATCGCTGGCAAGCCTGGGTCTCTCCCGTGGGCCTCCCCTGGGGCAGCTGCAGCCTCACTGACTGCTCTGCTGTGGGGGATCCCTGAGAAGCGAGACAGCACCCGACAGACTCTGCAGCCTTTTCTTTTTTTTTTAAGATTTATTTTTATTATTTTTTTTATTGGAAAGGCAGATATACAGAGAGGAGAGACAGAGAGGAAGATCTTCTGTCCAATGACTCACTCCCCAAGTGAGCGCAACGGCCGATACTATGCCGATCCGAAGCCAGGAGCCTCTTCCGGGTCTCCCATGCGGGTGCAGGGTCCCAAAGCTTTGGGCCGTCCTCGACTGCTTTCCCGGGCCACAAGCAGGGAGCTGGATGGGAAGCGGGGCCGCCGGGATTAGAACCGGCGCCCATATGGGATCCTGGGCGTGCAAGGCGAGGACCTTAACCACTAGTGCCACCGCGCCGGGCCCTGCAGCCTTTTCTTATAACCTATTTTCCAAAGTAGCAGACCACCATTTTTGTAGGATTTGATTTCCTTCAAAGCAAATGGACATGTTCAGCCCATGTGGAATGGGAGAGGCGTACGAAAGGGTGTAAACACCAGAGAGGTGGGGTCCCTGGGGCTCCCCGAAAGGGGGCCTGCCACATGCTCACAGGCAGGGCAGGGGGCTGCAGGGTACACCCCACCACCAAGTCCCGGCTGCTAAATGGCAAAGGAGACACTCCACTCAATGTACTGTTCAACCCTTTAAATTTCACACAATAAGGATGCTTTACTTTCAGATATAAATCAAATTTATTTTCAATTCAAAAAGAACAAAACAGTGAATTTTTAAAAAAGGATGGCATTTTAATAGCAGAAGAAAAGCTAAGCGGGAACAAAATAACAATTCCTCTTAACGCAGTCATCACCAAGCTCAATAAACCTGTTTCTGTTCAGTCCTCACTTACTTCAAAGGGGAGTTTCCAAAGCTCTTCCTCCTGCACAAGCAGACACAGACCTACGAGCCAGGACGCAGAGCTCTGCCTAGCCAGCTTCCACGGGCCCCAGAACACAGCCTTCGCTCGGCCTCTCTGTGCACACAATGTAGAGCCCTGCCCAGCCAGCTTCCATGGGCTCAGAACACGGCCTTCACTTGGCCTGTCCATGCACACGATGCAGAGCTCTGCCCAGCCAGCTTCCATAGGCCCAGAACACGGCCTTCGCTCAGCCTGTCCATGCACACGATACAGAGCTCTGCCCAGCCAGCTTCCATAGGCCCAGAACACGGCCTTCGCTTGGCCTGTCCATGCACACGATGCAGAGCTCTGCCCAGCCAGCTTCCATAGGCCCAGAACACGGCCTTCGCTCAGCCTGTCCATGCACACGATACAGAGCTCTGCCCAGCCAGCTTCCATAGGCCCAGAACACGGCCTTCGCTCAGCCTGTCCATGCACACGATACAGAGCTCTGCCCAGCCAGCTTCCATAGGCCCAGAACACGGCCTTCACTTGGCCTGTCCATGCACACGATGCAGAGCTCTGCCCAGCCAGCTTCCATGGGCCCAGAACACGGCCTTCGCTCGGGTGCACATGTTGCAGAGCCCTGCCCAGCCAGCTCCCATGGGCCCCAGAACACAGCTTTCGCTCAGCTTGTCCATACACATGGAGTGTGCTGCTCTAAGCCTCATCCCGAGGAAAACTCCCCTCAAGAACAACTTGGGCATCACCGTCACAAGGTCCTCCCAGGCTCCCAGTTACCATTCTCTGTGCCCCCCCAGCACAACGTGAACCCCTTTATTACATCTCGATCCCCATGGCCCAGGAGTCTGGGCCCAGCATCACTGGGCTCCCTGTCCAGGTACACATCCCAGACCCACTGCACCCGGATGGACAGAGCGGGAGGCAGGGGTTTGTGGGTACCCTGAAGTTCTTTTCCTCACTGCACGGTAAACTTCCCCTAGGGTTTTCCATTCTCTTTCATCTTGAGTCCATCATAGGCCTCTGTACCCAAAGGTAATGATTATATAAAAGATAAAAACTTTTTAAATTCCTGGAAGGATAGACACTACATAAATTAACAAGTTATCTGGCAGGCCGACAGTGGCACATACCCATGTAATATTTCAGTTCTTCACAATTAGAATATTTACCTTTGGAGATAGAAAAGCATGAACATCTGGAAAAATGCACATAAAACCCAAGAGATGATATATACTGGGGTCTGCAATTTTTTAAAAAGCATACTCCACTTTTGCAATAAGCAGTAAAAAGCTATCTTCACTTTGGGGGGAAAAAAACCCCTCTATGTTTCTGAAGCCCCTTTTTGTCTAATGATCAAGATTCTACAGCCACTCGGGAATTCAAAGTCCTAGAAGTATCATGACCATTGTGCAGAAGGCAGCAGGGGCCTCAGAAGTGCTGCCTGGACCACTTGGCGCAGGGCTGCTACACGGTGCACTGCTCTCAGGCCCAAGCCGGGCCAGTTCCAGCAACCACCAAGGACAAAGCAGCAGGAACCACCACTCGTGCAGTACCACCGCCCCCTGGTGGCAGCCTCCCCGTCGCTGTGAGCTCAAGCAACAGGTTTGAACATGTTTTCCAGCAGGATGACCTTTATTTTTTTAAATCATCAAAACCACTCTTGGCTTTTGCCAAGCAGTTGGGTCGAATGACAGGAATACACGGACCCAGGACCTGTTCTCCCCTGACTTGGAGCTTCAAGAACTGCCCAGGGCCGCTGGAGCTCTTGTCCTCAATCTTTCCTTCCCTGATGATCTGCATCCCCGGAAGAACACCCAGATCCCACGTTTTTGCGTGGGCCTTTCCTGCTTCCTCTCACCCCTGTGCTCTTCCTGGAGCTGCAGGAACAGAAGTGCATGGCCCAGGCACTCAGCCTCGAGGAGGCCTGCAGCAGCACCCACACCAGCACTCCCCAACCCCGGGCCTCAGATGCAGGCCCTGGTACCGCAGGTGGGTCAGGCCAGGGTGCAGCATTTTCAGAGAAACCATCAGTCTCCGAGCATGGTGCCTCAACCTCCAGAGACACGAGGCTTCCTCACTCTTCCAGGAAGAAGGCGACTTTCAACAGGGTATCTGCAATAGGAAGAGAGAAACACTGGGGCCCACCACCTCTCCTGAGAAGGTACGGGCACCATGAGGGTATCTGGCCAGATTCCCTAAGAGGTGAGCCGCGGGGAGAGGGACAAAGGGGTGCAGACAGAATGAACAAGATGTGGTACCCTGAACGAGGTCTTGATGCTCGCCTTCTGAGATCCGGTCCCAGGCCCTGGGCAGCGCCTGGATGCTCGCCAAGTCTCCCCATCGGATGGAGGAGAGGAGGGCTTTCCTCTTCAGGTACCTTCCCCGAGTTAAGGACTGCTCACAATGAAAAGGAACCATCTCCACGAGGAAGCACACCATCGCAGAGCCAGAGGGAGCAGCCCAGCACAAGCACAGCCAGGGCACGCTCCCCCAGGCGGCCAGAACTCACCTGTGATGGCAGTAGTTTTCTTCTTTTTTAAAAGATTTATTTATTTTCATTGGAAAGTCAGATTTACAGAGAAGAAAAGACAGACAGAAACATCTTCCATTCCCAGGTTCACTCCCTAGATGGCTGCAACAGCCAGAGCTGAGCCAATCTGAAGCCAGGAGCCTCTTTTGGGTCTCCCATGTGGGTGCAGGATCCCAATGCTTTGGGCTGACTTTGACCGCTTTCGCAGGCCACAAGCAGGGAGCTGGATGGGAAGTGGAGCAGCTGGAACACAAACCGGTACATATGTGGGATGCCCACGCTAGGAGGTAGGGAGGATTAGCCATTGAGCCAATGTCCAGCCCCAGCTGTGACATCTTTACTAACTTAGCCATCAGATTCAAGGAAGCAATGAAAGCCAGGTCTCACCCTGGTAAGGACAAGAGAAGGGGTCAAAATGACACACAGAGCAGTTGGAAAGCAGCGGGAAGTCGGAGGACACACACTGCAGCAGAGAGGACCACGGGCAGTCCAGGTGCCAAGGCACGGCAGAGGGGAAGCAGACCGCCCCGCCCGCTGGCCCGGCCAAGGGAGAGCCAGGAAACGCTGGTGCAGCCAGAGGACAACCCTGAGGGCCAAGGGCCGGATTCTGAGCTTCACCTCTGCTAGCCCAGTAATGTGGTCAGAATCAAACTGCCCAAAGATTCACCTATGGGACTGAGGTCCCGGTCTGCAGGCAGCCCGAAGAGAAAGCTGCCTTACGCAGGGAAGCATGCAAGAGGTTGCATGTGAGGAGGACGCCAAGTGAGAGGAAAGGACCTGGCCGGTACCTTGGGGGACAGAGAAGGAAAGAGGCACCAAGGAAGCAGGACTGCAGGGCTGAGCAGCACCCGGTGAGAGCTCTGACGGCCGGCCGGGGCTCCTGCGCAGGCTGCTGCCATCAGCACTACTACTACAGTCAGGAAGGAGCAGGGGGCGGGGAGGGGGTCTGACAGGGTGGGTGCCACAACTAAGGAAGAGGGCTGAAGGGCCAGGTTAGATCGGCAAGCTCGACTTGGAACCTGCATTCACAGGCATCTGTAGGAAACTGAAATGCCAGAAGGATCAGAGGCGACAGTCGAGGTTGCGCCTTGTGAGTCATTCGCGGGAGAGCAGAAAGGTGAGCTGGAACGTCAAGCAAGAATCCAGAGAAAAAGGCCACAGCTTTAACCCACCGGGCTGCCAGCTTTCACCCTGGTCCCCCGAGGACCTTCCCCAGAACACAGCCTGATGCCATGAGAAAGTGATCTCTACTGCAACACTCAGGTCACCCCAGCCGACTCCGGCTTCCTGCCAATGCGTACCCCAGGAGGAGGCAGGTGCCCTCACACGCGTGGGATGCCTGCACAGAATTCTGGGCTCCTTGGTTTGGACCAGCCCAGCTCTGGCTGGTGTGGGCATGTGGGAAGTAACCCAGCAGATGGAAAATCCCTCTCTCAAATTACATAAATAAACATGCATTACCTGCAGAGTCTGGCCCCCTCCCCAGCAGCCCCATGGCCTGTGAGGCCCCCTCCTAGCCTGCAGCCTGCTCTGAGGGGTCCACCCATGCTCTCAGTGCAGAGCCTGGCACTTGATGTTCCTGGCACACCCCAGACGACCACACGGTTCCCTCCCTCGCCCATTTAAGATCTTCGTGCCAAAGGCACTATCTCATGAAGTCTGCCCTGAACACCTTATTTAAAGTTACAACACCCTCCCAGAAAAAAAAAAAAACAAGGCCACAAAACAACACAAGAAACAAATCAATAAAATAAAGTTGCAACCCCAACTCCATAGCACTCACTGCCATCTGACCTTTCATACGTATCTGTTTTAACACCAGTCTCCAAGCACCGAGAACAGGACCGGGCAGGGAACACCTGCTGAGTGTGGTACTGAGGACACCCTGTGCCAAGGGACTTGGGAGGAATCCACAGTCAAGTCCCCATGAGCAGCTGCGGACACCATGTGAAACCCAGACCAAGGATACGAGGTTCGGAAATGTCGGTCAATGTCCTGCAGCCATTCTAGCATGTCAGCCACCGAGGGGCTGGCCGCCGAGGGCTGCAGCACAGCGTCGAGGTCCAGCGTGTTGGCTTGTTGCCCGTACACTTCAAACACTTGCTCCACGTGGCTGCTGACCGCATCGCGTACCTTGAGCAGGGCAGCTCTGGGGGAGAGAGTCTGACATCAGGTGCCTGCACCCTGAAGCAGGTGCTGGGCAAGGGTCTTGTTGATCCCTGCTGTGGCGGCACTGCAGGATGTGTGGCAGCATGCTGGCTGCAGCCCGCTGGGCAACAGCAGCTATGCTGCCACCCTGGCCTAGTCACAACGAGCAGTAACCACTCTTAGAAGCCGCCAAATGTCTCCTGCCAAGAACCCACCGTGAGGCCACTGATCTAAGACCAATGACAACAAAGCTGGTGGGTGCTCAAGAGTCAAGAACATGGGGCCTGGCTAAAGTCCTTGCCTCGCATGTGCCAAGATTCCATATGGGTGCCGTTTCTAATCCTCAAAGCCCTGTTTCCCATCCAGCTCCCTGCTGGCAGCCTGGGAAAGCAGTAGAAGATGGCCCAAAGCCTTGGGACCCTGCACCCATGTGGGGGACCTGGAAGAGGCTCAAGGCTCCTGGCTTCAGATCAGCTCAGCTCCAGCCAATGCAGCCACTTGAGAAGTGAATCATCGGATGGAAGATCTTCCTCTTTGTCTCTCCTTCTCTCTGTATATCTGACTTTCCAATAATAAGTAAATAAATCTTCAAAAAAAAAAAAATCAAGGGGCCCAGCGCGGTGGCGCAAGTGGTTAAAGGTCCTCGCCTTGCACGCCCGGGATCCCATATGGGCGCCGGTTCTAATCCCGGCAGCCCCGCTTCCCTTCCAGCTCCCTGCCTGTGGCCCGGGAAAGCAGTCGAGGACGGCCCAAAGCTTTGGGAACCTGCACCCGCGTGGGAGACCCAGAAGAGGCTCCTGGCTTCGGATCGGCATAGTATCGGCCCGTTGCGCTCACTTGGGGAGTGAATCATTGGACGGAAGATCTTCCTCTCTGTCTCTCCTCTCTGTATATCTGCCTTTCCAATGAAAAAATAATAAAAATAAATCTTTAAATAAAAAAAAAATCAAGAACTGAGGCTGCCGTTAGATTTCTAAAACAATTTTTCCATCTTAGTAAATTCCAATTCCCCACCAGCTTTTGGAGGGTCCTTGCAACTTGAAATGGAAGGTTTAACCACAGGCACAAACCAGCCTGGACAACTGCAACTGGACACAGAGGCTCCCCAGCCGGGGTGAAGGCTCCAGCTCCTTGGTCAGCCACGCTTGGCACCTGCTGGGGGTTTTGTGCCCTCCTCTGCACGATGGGGTGAGGGAACATTAAGACGGTCTCTGGGCCCAGAGCTGCAGCACCGGGGGCTGGGCTACCACAGGCATCCCATAGCGGACCTGGCTTCTCCGATCCAGCTCCCTGCTAACGCGCCTGGGAAGGCAGCCCAGGAGAGCCCCAGTCCTTGGACTGCAGCACACGGCTGGGAGGTCAGGAGGGGGGCCTGGGATGGCCCAAACCAGGCTGCTGGGGCCATGTGGAAGGTGAACCAGGGGATGGACGATCTGTTCCTGCCCCTATGTAATTGCTTTTCAAATAACTATCTTAAAAATGCATTTATTTGTATTGGAAAAGTAGATGTACAGAGCGAAGGAGACAGACACGAAGATCTTCCATCTGCTGGTTCACTCCCCATACAGCCACAATGGCTGGAACTCAGCCAATCTGAAGCCAGGAGCCTGGAGCTTCTTCCAGGTCTCCCAAGCAGGTGCAGGGTCCCAAGGATTTGGGCCGTCCTCTACTGCCTTCCCAGGTTACAAACAGGGACCTGGATGGGAAGTGGAGCAGCTGGGACTTGAACCAGCACCCACATGGGATTCCAGCATGTGCCAGGGGAGGGTCAGCCAACTGAGAAACTGTACCAGGCCCTCAAATTACTATCCTTTAAAACGATTCTCTGAGATAATACACAGAAAACTCTTAGTTCTGGCACCCGCTCCACCTACAGCCTAGTTCCTCGCTGCCTTATATTACCAATGAAAACTACAGGAGCCCAATAAGCCGTCTCTACTCCTTGTCCCTTCTGCTGGTAACTTGTACCAAGCCCACCGCTGCTGCCCCAGGTCTTTCGACAAGGGAAATGTCAGCAACCAGGGGCCTTTCCCAGAGTCCACCCAGGGCAGCAGACGGAAACGCGGGGGGAGGACAGGGCCACCCTCCAACCCAGCCGACCGACCCTGGCCGGCTGACTGCTGCCCGGTCCCCACGGCCGCTTACAGCCTGTCCCCGAGCTGCTCCAGCACGGCGTCTCCGGCCTCCAGCTGCTTGCGCCGCAGCCGCTCCTGCAGGTCCGGGAAGGCCCGCAGCGCAGGCACCTGGTCCAAGCGGAGGCTCTGCGCCGCCCGCAGCTGCTCGGCCAGGTTGCTGAGCGAGGCCAGGAGGGGCTGGCAGTCCCGCACGGCGTCCTGCCACGAGCCCTGCTGCTCCCGCACCGCCGGGAAGCACTTCTTCAGCGCTTCCCGCACGGCCAGCAGAGACCGGTCCGCAGCCATCTCCCCCGGGGAGCCGAGGCGACGGGGCGGCAGCGAGTCAAGGGTTTCCGAGTCCCTTCCGACAGCAGCTCCCGTGCAAGGCGCTCTCGCAGCGCAGGAACCTCGCTCCTCGCCTCGCGGCGGGAGTCGCCTACTTCAAACGGAGCATTCCTCGTTCCCCTCGGAGCCCTCCTCCGGATTCGAACTCGTGGCTCCGTTCCTTAGGGGTTGGTGCATTCCCTACACCAGCTGGGCGAGCCAAGCAACCCGCAGGGCGGGATGGCGCACCGAGAAACCGCGGCCTTTCGACCGACGCCCGGACGGCCGCTCCTCAGTGTTTCACCTCAGGCCTCCGCGGAGTGGGCCAAAATTGTCGTTGGCCGCCATGACTTCTGGGCGCTGTAGTCCTACGCGTGGATTGGCTGCCAGAGTGAAGCGCTTCTTCGTGATTGGATGTTACGGCGCCGTCCTAAGACGGCGACTTCTCATTCGCCAGCCGGTGGTGGTTGAGTTTGAATTGAGGGCGGTTGGGCGCGGAGCCACACCTTCGCAGCCGGAACGCCGCAGCTCTTCCTAGGCCTCATCTCGGGAGCTACAGCTTCTCGTCTCGGTTCTTGGGTCGCTCCAGACCCCGAAGGAAGGGTGTCCATTCCGCCTCTTCGCCTCCGCCCCTCGCGGCGCCGAACGCCCCCAAACTCTTCCGCAGCCCCCTCCCGCCTTGTGGCTTGGTCCCCTGCAAAACGCCATGGCGCCCAGGAAGGGCAACAGTCGGGTGACCAAGACCAACTCGCTGCGGAGCCGGAAACTCGCCTCCTTTCTTAAGGATTTCGACCGGGAAGGTAAGGGGGCCGAACCCGGGGTGCTGGCGGGATAGGGGCGCTTGCGGCACGCGTCCACCCGCCGGGGTGACCCGCGTCTCTGTCCTCGCGCAGTGCAAGTCAGGATCAAGCAGATCGCGTCCGACAGGCAGAACCTCCTCAAGGAGGTGGACAACCTGTACAACATCGAGGTCCTCCGACTGCCCAAGGCGCTGCGCGAGATGAACTGGCTCGACTACTTCGGTGAGCGGGGCGCGACCTCCCTCCCCCCGGCCTGACCCCACGCGCCGACGAGCAGTGTCCCCGTTAGAAGGAGGACGAGATGAGGGCACAGAGAAGTTGCTGACTTGGCTGCAAGCATGCGACCCTCGCTGTCACACAGCAAGGGAGGGTTGGTTAGCAGGAGGAGCTCAACTCATCCCGCAGTCAGCACGCACTTGCCTCACGCACTGCCTAACAGATTGGGGCCGTGGCCGTGGGTGTTCCGTCTGGAATCCATTGCGAAGCAGGGTGTGCACAGGGTGGGCGCCTCAGCCCTGGGTTGGGAGCGAGCTGCTGTGATGCAGCTGGGAAGCAGCTTCGGCCAAGGTTCGCGCTATGTTTGGAAGGATGAATTGGACGGGCGCGGAAGAGGGTTTCAGTCCATCCCCAGCCTTATGCCCCTGGCACGTTTGGGGCATCATGACAACGGGCCATGAGAGAACAGGCTCAAGCTTGGTGAAGGACCAGGCTGGGTGGGGAAGTTGGTAAGGGTGGGGCCAAGGAGGAGGGGAGGTGTTTGACCATTCACAGCTGATAGTAACTAAGTGTAACATTCTCTTTCAAGCCCTTGGAGGAAACAAACAGGCCCTGGAGGAGGCAGCAACAGTAAGTGACAGACTTATTTTTGAGCTGTTTGTTGTCCAGTGTCAGCGATCTAAAGGGTGGTGTGGAAGGGATTCCCTAAAAGAGCTGTTCCCTATTCAGGTGCGTGGGAAAGTTACATTTGAAGCAGGATGCTGAGTGTGTAACTATGTGAAGTCCAAATAGCTTTGAGCCCTAAAAAGAAAGACGGGTCTGTTTTTGGCGGCCTTACATCCTGTGCTCATAAACTGAGGAACCTGCTGGATGATGAAGAGGCCACGTCAGCCATGAGAGTCATGTTCTTGGGTCAGACCCCTGACTCTTCCCCACCTGCTCCTGGCAGCTGTACTGGCAATGCAGGCAATAAGATGGGGAAGCAAAGTGAAGACCTGGAGTCTGCCGTGGCTAACATGGTAGCTGTGAGGCTCAGGTAGTTATTAACATTAATTAATAAAAATTCATCTGTGGGATGGGCATTGCGTATAGTGGCTTAAGCTGCCGCTTGGAGCACAGGTGTACCGTCTCTGAGGGCCAGTTTGAGTCTTGGTTGCCCTGCTTCCACTCCACCTACCTGCCGATGAAAAGACCTACATGAGAGGCCTGGATGGAGTTCTGAGCTCCTGGCTTCAGCCTGGCACAGCGCCAACTTTCTCAGGCATTGAGGGAGTGAATCAGTGGATCTTTCTCTCTCTCTCTGCCTTTCAAATAGATAAACTCTTAAAAAAGAGAGAGGAGAGAGGAAACAAAACAGAAAATTAAGAAAACAAAAAAAATTATTTTCCTCTTGCAGAAAGTTGAGCACTTGCCCATTAATGGGCTTAATGGGGTCCCTTGCCATGTGAAGTTCATGAACAATCTGTGTTCATGCGCACATTCGAGTATCCTTCTGAGAGAAAAGTTTATAATCACTTCATGAGCTTACAAAGTGATGAGGTGTAACGGGCTGATCCTCCGCCTGTGGCGTCGGCATCCCATATGGGTGCTGATGGATTCACAGCTGCTTCCCTTGTAATCCAGCTCCCTGCTAGTGGGTGTGGGAAAGCAGCTGAGGATGGCCGAGTGCCTGGGCCCCCACACACCCATGGGAGACCCAGAAGAAGCTCCTGGTTCCTACTTTGCCCTGACTCAGCTGTGGCTGCTAAAAAAGTGACCCCTCCACCCCCCAGATCTACTTGTCTTTGCTAAGTTGATGAGAATCCTTTGGGGTCTGAGGTCTGGAACTGCATTGAGTGTGCACAGTAGCACCAACCAGGAGCCTTCCATCAGCTGTGCGAGTTAGAGGCAGTTGTGGAGCAGGTGAGGATCTGAAGATGAATACTGTAGGAGTGGAATGGGGATGATTAAGGTACCAAACCAAGAATCAGCAATGCTCTTCTTTTTGAGTGCTGACTCTTCGGCAGGGGTTTGCTTGACTCATGTTGTTCAGTCCCCAATGCACTCCAGATCTGATGTGAAAACTTGTACCTGGGATGAGTTAACACTCGTTAGGGAACACGAGTTACCTGCCTCCACCTCAGACAACAAAGAACTGCAAGTCAGGGCTTCTGATGCAACACTGAGTGTGGTTGCACCAATTGGAAGAATCCTAGGCTTTGTTAGCGTGATTCAAAGCTCAAGAAAGGGATGACAGAGTGGACAAAGGGTGGGCATTTGGTTACAGCAGCACGTTGACGCTTTGGACGCTGCAGTCTGTCTCAGTGCCTGTCCGACTCTGGGTCTGACTTCGCTAATGATCCAGCATCCTCCCAATGTGTGCCCCACGAGGCAGCAGACGATGGATCATATATTTGGGTCACTGCTCCACATTCGGGGGGGCCCTAATGATGTTTCAGAGTCCTGGCATCCATCTGGCCCAGGCCCAGCTGTTGGGAGCACCTGGAAAACAAACCAGCCAGTAGGAGAGATCTCTTATCTGCCTTTCAAAATACAATAGACACAAAAGCTCCCAACTGGAAAGTGTGCCAGGAGCTTCACTTGGAGGCCTCCTAGACCTGGCGTGTAATCCTTCTGTGAAGGGTTATGACATGGAAGAGAGCAAAGCAGAATCTAAAGGAAAGAAGCCCACGGGGCAAGATTTGGAGGGAGTCTGGAGCAAGTTCCAAGTCTCCTAGTGGAGGCAAGAAAAAATGTTGAATATGTATGCAGTGCTAACAAAACTCTGTAGCGACGGAAAGCCTCTACTGTTTCCTGCGGGCTGGACAGGTAGGTGTCCTCTGCTGAGCATGTAACAAAATCACAGACATGCAGAAGGAAAGCAGGACTTAGCATTAGCCATCTTTTTGTTTGTTTTGTTTCGTTTTGTTTAATTTATAATAATTACATGATTGATCAGGGTGGGAAAGATCAAGGTTTAGGGAAAATTGAGTGAACTCGTTGTTTCCAAATTTGCTGTTTCTTGTTTCTGGGGGAAGGGGAGAGACAAAGGGGGAAGCCATACACAACTTTCCAGACATCCCAGCATCCAGGGATGAGGAACCGCCACCGCATATCAACCCAGGGCCTCAGTGTGCACGTGTTCCAAGGGTTCTGCCCAAGTGGTTTGGAGAGTTCTGAAAGGCTGACGGTTTCACCAATCCAAGGATGAATCCACCCTGCCGATGTGCACTGGCTGACACAGTAAGCCTCGTCTCCACCAAGGTTTTTTGCTGTCATTGTTTAACTGGGATAATTGTCCAGTTTGTTCTGTCTTGCTCCTTCTGCCATAGCACCAAATGAACTGCCTTATTCTTTTACAGCAGGGCCTGTGTCCACTGCTCTGCCTTTTTCACTAAGTAGGACATGTTCTTGTAGGTCAGCCCTAAAAGGCCCCGGGCCAGGCGTCCCAAGCCTCGCTGGATCCCCCATCCCCGGGCTCATGAACCTGGCACCCACCTCACAGGCAGGCCCCAAGTCCTGGGCTAGACCACCCAGGTCCCTCTGGATCCCTCACCCCTGGAACTCATGAACCCAGCACCCGCCTTACAGGCGGGCCAAGAGACCTGGGCCTGGTGACCCAAGCTCCTCCAGATCCCCTATCCCTGGGGCTCAAGAACCCCGGCACCCCCCTCGCAGGTGGGCCCGAGGACCCGAACCTCCACCGGATCTCCCAACCCTGGGGCTCATGAACTAAACATACACCTCACAGGCAGATCCTAGGACCTGGGCTAGGAGACCCGAGTCTTGCCAGATCCCCCACCCCTGGGGCTCACAAACCTGGCCCCCTACCACGCAGGTGGGCCCCAGGACTCAAGCCAAGCTACCCGAACCCTGTCAGATCCCCTGTTCCTGCTGGCACCAGACTGGCATGACTTGCCTCACCTCAGCATCCACAGTCATACTGCTCAGCCTGACCTGGTCTATCCTGCCCCTTGATCCAGCTCCTGCTGGTGGATGCTACAGCTTAACCCAGCCTAGCCTGATTGCTGCCCTGGCCCTAATGTGAACTGGCTGATGTTGTTGCCTGATACGGCGTTTCCTGTCATGGTTCTCAGATCTGCCAGGGGATGTTATGAACTGGCCCAGACTGGTCTATCCCCAAACCTGACCCACATGTATGCTGGTGGGTACTATAATCTGGCATAGTCTGGGCTGCTCCTTGCCTTGCTTCTTGCACTCACCTGCAGGAACTGCGTCCCGATGAGGGAGTTTCCAAAGCTCCTCTATTGTGGCTCCTTTCAGTGGCAGTTCTTGCACAAACTAGTGGGTTCTTGGCCCAGGTTAAGCCGTCTTATTTTAAGGCATGGTGGGAGGCCTCCAGAAATCCATCCCCAGGTGCAACTAAGGGCCGGTTTGGCAAACAGGCTTTTTTTACCTAGATCAGCTCAGACCTGCTGTGTTAATGCAGCTACATGGTAGGTAATCCATGGCTTGCTATCAGTGATAACCCCATAATGTGACTGTTGTTTCTAGAGTTGGTGGGAAATTGATTGGAATGTCACCACTGTGTTTAAGCAAATTGTTGTAGACATTATTAATCCATACGGCGTTGCTTTCTTGTTAAGCCCAGATAGCCTCAAAATCCTCTAAATCACCTAGAATGATTACTGGAAGCCCTCCCAACCCTCTGCCTTTTGTTTTGTTTTCTTAAGATTTGTTTATTTGAAAGGCAGACTCAGAGAAGGAGAGTAAGAGAGATTGGCGTTCTGTTCCCCAAGTTGGTCAGTAGTGGGACCTGGATTGGGTCAAAGCCAGGAACTTGGAACTTCATCTGGATGACAGAACCCAAGCACATGGACCATCTTTACTGCTTTCCCAGGAGCGTTAGCAGGGAACTGGATCAGAAACGGAGCAGCCAGGACTTGAACCTGTGCCCTGATAGAGGATGCTAGTGTTGCACATCATAATTTGAGAACGGCACAGTGCTGGCCCTGGAGCCTTTCGGAAGGACCTAAGAGCATCACAGAGAACCTTACTGAGAACTTTTTAGAGTTACCCCAAAGAAACGAGAAGTCTGGGACAACACCAGGTATCACAGTAGAAAATTTGTATTGCTTGCAAATGGGATGTAAGCAGGTACAGGCACTTTAAAAAACTATGTACATGCTGTCAAAGCTGAAAATGCTATGGCATTGGTATATGTGTAAGACAAGAATAGGGCGGTTCAGATAGCAGTGTTTATAAGAGGAAGCACCTGTTGATGAAAGAAGGGACATACCCATTGTGATATAGTCTATAGTAGAATGTTATATAGCCTGAAAACATGAGGTACAAGCTGCGTATATTTGCATGTGTATATGTATGTTTCAGCAAGTGGAATGATCGTGGGTACAGCTGGTGAGCGAGAGGATTAAGAGACTCTGGGAGAGGGACATATTGTAACACTTAACAACCTTGGGGATCACATGGTGGATTTTTGAAATTTTCTCCATAAAATGTTGTTCCTGAGCCTGGTACGGTGGCCTAGTGGCTAACGTCCTCGCCTTGAACGCAGCTGGATCCCATATGGGCACCAGTTCCCATCCAGCTCCCTGCTTGTGGCCTGGGAAAGCCAAAGCCTTGGGACCCTGCACCCACATGGGAGACCTGGAGGAAAGTTCCTGGCTCCTGGCTTTGGATCAGCGCAGCACCGGCTGTTGTGGTCACTTGGGGAGTGAATCATCGGACGGAAGATCTTCCTCTCTGTCTCTCCCTCTCTCTGTATATCTGACTTTGCAATAAAAATAAAATAGATCTTTAGAAAAAAAAAATGTTGTTCCTCACATTTGATGCTCTCTGGCTTTGTTTGTCACAGGCTGACGTGGATATCACAGAAATAAACAAACTGACAGCAGAAGCCATGCAGACACCCCTGAGGTCTGCCAAGTGTGAGTACTGCTCCAAACCTGCGTGCAGTGGACACAGCCAGGGCTGGGGAGCCTGGCCGGCCGCTCAGCAGATCATTGCTTGCGGGACAGATACTAACCAAGCTTGTGAGACCACAGTGTGAGCTAAAGTGGAAAAAAAGAAAAAAAAAAAGTCAGACATTGATATCTGCTTGCTTTCCTCTGGGGGTAAAGTTGACAAGATTGAGAGATGCGAAGATGAGCAGTAGCAAGTGAGACCTGCTGGTGTGATCAGTGGGGTGGCAGAGGAGGAATGTCCTCTGTAATTCACGGGACTTAGTTGAGTTGAACTCAGACACATCACACACTTAACGCCGAGTTACAGAAAAAGCCCATTTGTTATCAGCGAACATAGGAAGGGGCAGGAGGAATTGTAACATAGACTTGATATTGTCATCACTGAATTTGGTAGCTGTTTAAATCTGTTGAGTCAGTATTAGTCTTTTAATTCTTATGTTTAAGAAATATAGGTTTTTCTTTTAATCTTACCCCACGGAACAAATGCACTAATTTGAACCAACAGTTAGTTGTTGGCTGGGCTTTGACTGCTTTGTAGGCTGTTCAGTGGTAGAGGGGTTACGTTGTAGCTTAGAGAGTTAGGATGCCTACATCCTGGGTAGAGTGCCAGTTTGTGAATACTTGCTATTCCACTTCTGAGCCAGTATTCCTGCTAACATTCCTCCCTGGGAAGAGTGGGAGATGGCCCAGGTTCTTTCCCCTTCTCTCTCTCTCTCTCTCTCTCTCTCTCTCTCTCTTTCACTCTGCCTTTTAAATGAGTAAATTTGGTGCATCTCAAACATGCCTCGTATTCCTTTTCCTCCCAAGATGAGAATTATAATAATAATCATTTATGAATATATATAAAATTAATCCTGCTTGTTATGGTCTGTGTCTGGAATTGTCCAAGGGTGTGGCATTCATTCATCCCACAACACTTGATTAATACTGAAGGAACAATTCTGGGCCTGCAGTTGAGCAGGAATAAAAGTAGCAGGACTGCGTTCTTGTGGAACTCGCATTCCAAGCCTCATCATATTCTTGTAGCATGACTGCTCCCAGTTAGAGATGAGGGAACCAAGGCTGCCTGGTTAGGGTGATGCACCCCGTTGGCTGGTGGAGCCAGGCGTCATCCTCCTGCTGAATCACAACACTGGACCGGCTTGTCATGGCCTCATGTGGGGTTCCTAACCCCTCTTTGTTAAAACAGCGGGGTTGTCTATGTTGAATCTGTCTCTGACTGCAGTCTAAGATTGTAGTAAGTTTTATTCCTTCTAAGAAATGTGAGTGCCGAAGAGTTTATTCCTATCAGAAAATTCACACTGTTAAAACTTCCTTTACAGCACGAAAGGCAATACAAATGGATGAAATGATAGTGGAAGAAGAGGGAGAAGAAGAAGAAGAAGAAAACAAGCTTAAGAACCCTCAAACTGCAAGAGTAAGTAGGCGTTTGAATTGAGGGTGGGGAGCTAGGAGAAGCAAATACAAAAACACAGAGCTCCTAGGTCCTAAGTGGCCAATGACAAAGGATCGTTGGCATGTGTAAAGAACCTGTAAAACAGGTAGAAGCTCCCTCTAAGGACACAGCTAAGGCCTGTTAAGCTGAGGTCTCATTAACTAGAGGAAAAAACGGGAGAGAACTCCAGGTGGAAGCAAAAGTAACGTCCTGTGAAAGAGCAGCTTGATGTGGCTTATTAGCCAGAGAATAATAGAGATAGAGCAAGACCAAAGGCTGGATGAGGAATGGACACACGGCCTTGTCCTTCCATTCTGTCCGTGGGTACTGAAGTGACCTCAGACGGATGTTCCCGGGCCATGTTCAAGATACAGGGGAAGAGGGGAAAACAGGATGAGCACGTCAACCTGGAGACTGCTAGTTCTTGACCTGAGGCTCTGACACAGCAGAGAAGGGCTGGCTGGAGGTAAATTTCAGGAAGGAGAATGGGTGTGATGAGTGAAGGAGAGGAGAACCCTGAAGTGACGTCGTGGCCTGTAACCCAGGCAGCTGCTGCCCGGTGGAACCAGGGCCGAGGAGGCAGGTGACGGTGCGGGACCTGTCGAGTGTACTTCCCCAGGACGTATACACTGAGCAGGAATTTCAGGGAGAAGCTGGAGCCTGAGCGGCACACTGACCAGCCCCCTCCCAGACCTCTGGGTGCTTGTGCCAGCTAGGCAGCGGAAGAGTTCCTGCAGGGACAGCAGGGTTGGAGGGAGGGAGTAGGTAGATACTCTAGAGGAAAGTGGACTGCTGGGGACTAAGCAGGGAAGCAGGAAGGGCAGAGGAGAGTGCCCAAGGCCTTGAGGTTGGCAGTGTGTGGTTACCACCCAGTTCAGTATCCTGCATGCCGTGGTCCAGCCTTGTCAGCCCCTCCCAGCTCTCCAGGAGGGATCCTCCTTGGGCACCCAGGATGGCCCAAGAGACCCTCATGGCAGCACTTCATGAAAAGCAGTGGGGATACGTCTGGCTACAGGGTTCAAAAGAGATTTACCATTAGTGCTAGCAGAAATTTCTCTGAAGACCTGGATGGCATGAGCCCTTAGCCGATCACGGATGTTGTGAATGTGTTGAAGCCTCTGATTCTGTGAGGGGCCTGAAGTAGTTCTGGTCTTCCTTTCCCATTTTTTTCTTTTTCTTTTTTTTTTTTTAACCCTCCTATCCCGTTTCTGGATGTTTTGCACACTCAGTTTCGTTTGGTTGTGACTGCAGGTCAAAAGGTGCCCTCCCTCCAAGAAGAGGACCCAGTCCCTACAAGGAAAAGGCAGAAGCAAAAGGTAATAGCTTTTCAAGTTGAGGAGTGCAGTTTGGGCCTTACAGGAGAGCAGAGGAGGGCTGAACAGGCGGTGGTGGGTGTAGAAGGAGAGCACCAAGTCGTGAATCCTGTGCCTAAGCCGGGGTGGGCAGTGGTCTGCCCCCTCCCGTTTACTTGCCCGGCAGTCAGTGCCTAGGCAGAGCTGCCTCACAACCAGACACGGAGTGGCTGCCGGGATCCCGGGCCAGGCTTTATGTGCCTGCAGCACAACGCCCACCCTGACCTCTTGTTATGAGGCTGTCTCCTTTCTTGTGGTCTGTTAGCTCAAATGAGAGATCAGCTTCTGGAGGCGGGCTGCTTGGGTGACCATGTCTGGCAGTTCTCTGAACTCCATATCCCCGAGTTTCCACATCTGTAAGTGGGGGTGCTGCCCTCCTACGTGTGAGTTGCTGTGTACCAGGTGCCCGGAGCGGGACGTCACCAGCTCTGCTGCTGCTGCTGCTGCTGCTGTCCCAGGCCTAAAGGCTGCAAACGTGACCTCAACAGCTGCTGCTTCCCTGCAGGTCAAGCCGCAGTCAGATGGTGACGCCGGCTCTAAGCCGACTGGAGTTGTCCATGGTCAGACCAACTCCAGGCCTGACGCCCAGGTTTGACTCCAGGTGAGCAGCAGGAGCGGGGTGTGGGTTCGGTGAGAGCGCAGCAGTGAGCCATGCGTACAGGGAAGGGGTATTTAGGGCGTACTGGGTCCTCGGCCCAGGAAGCCTTCTCAAGGACAGCAGCCACTCGGCCTTCCCAGTGTTGCCTAGCTCTCTGCTGGGTCACCTGTTTGCAGCAGAAAAACGATTCTTTGTCCAAAGAGAGGGAGAAGAAGATTCTGTATTTGTTTGCTCTGTTTTTTGGTGTTTTTTTCTGACAAGTTTTTTGAGCCAGGGAGGTACGTTCCTTTACCCCCGGGAGACAGGAGAATTGATAATGCCTTTTCAGAGACAAGTAACTGAGCTTTGTTGTGCCTGCCATAGAGGCTATTGTTTTACTATTGTTTAAATTGATTACTTGACTGCCTTGGAAGGCAGAGCGGGAGGGAGACCCTCCATCTGCTGCTTTTCCTTCCAGATGGCTGCAGCAGCCAGGACTGTACCAGGACAGGGCCTCCCCAGGTGGATCAGAAGTGGAACAACTTGGGTTCAGACTGGCGTCTTGATAAGGGATACCAGTGTCATGGGTGGAAGCTTAACAGACTGTGCCACCCCGCAGGCTCCCACAGAGGCTAGCCATCAGAAAAGTGGGGGTAGGGAGAGTTCATCACCTCAGAGCATCCCCTGGCAGCTGGCTGATGGGGGGTCCCAGTGATCCCTTTTGCTGGATGGTCGCAGGAAGTTCTGGGAGGATCCTTCACAAGTGGTTACCCCTGGGGAGTGGAGTAAGAAGGGGTTTTTCTCTGTAGGGAAAGTAAGAGTCATTTTCCACTCTTAGTTCTCACTTTACTATCTTTTTTCTTTCTTTCTTTCCACATGAGCATGTAACAAAAGACATTTAGAGGAAATAGGCAGCCACATTTTGAGGGCCTTGAGAGCTTGTGGATTAATGTAATGATGTCATCGCTGATTCCTCTTCCTCTGACCCCGGGAAGTTGTGCCTGGCGGGAGCACCCAGCCAATTTATTTTTGGCTTTGTGGCTGGCTGGATGGCCTGCATCCATGAGGAGCTGAGAGCCTGGCGTTTGCACGGGGAAGAGTTGACTTGTGCTAGATGTATGTTTGGTAATTATGCCCTCCTTTCCCCAGCTGTGTTTAGCCATTAGCTTTAAAAAAAAAAAAAAAGTTTTCCCTAAATTTAGAACTCGCCTTCTTAGAAACATGTGACTCTGAAAACTGCAGGTTGAGGCCAGATGGGGTAGGCAGGGCTCCCTGTGCCTGGTGTCATTCAGTCTGCCAGGCCGTCCTCACAGACTTTCCCGCTGTGCAGAGTCTTCAAGACCCCGGGCCTGCGCACTCCGGCAGCCAGAGAACACATCTACAACATCTCTGTGAACGGCAGCCCCCTGGCCGACAGCAAGGAGGTCTTCCTCACTGTGCCCGTGGGCGGCGGCGCGGTATGCTATCTCCTGGGGAGCTGCTTCGTGTAGCACCTGCCTTTGTGGGCCCTCAGCCACTTCTCTTCTCGGGGACCTTCAGGTTCCCTGGGTCCTGGTCTCTGCAGTCCTGCTATGCTCAGAGGCCCAGGCTAGGTGGGTCCCTGTCCTGTACCAACCTCTGTTGAGCAGCTGCTGCATGCCCAGCCAGCTGTCACAAGCCCCAGGGCACGTGGTTCCTGTCATTGCAGAGCAGGTCAGGAGTCAGTTGGGTTGGCAAGTGTAGTATCTGCAGGAGCTATACTAAGAAGGGATTTGTTTGTTTTTGTTTTGTGTAAGATTTATTTGATAGGAAAAGTGACCAAGATATCTTTCATTTGACTGTAGCAAGCTGGGTTGGGCCAGGCTGAAGCCAGGAGCCTGGATCTCCATCCAGCTCTCCAGTAGCAGGGTTCTCCAGTAGCTTGGGTCTCCTCCTCCACTGTTTTCCCATGTGCATCAATTGGGAGTTGAACTGGCACTCCAGTGTAAGATACCAATGTTACAGGCAGCAACTTAACACGCTGCACCAGCCCCAGCTAACAGGGATGTTCAAGTTGGTCTAGAAAGCCAGGACCATGCCTGCAGCTCTGTGCACCAGTGGAGATTCTGACGCACAGTAGGCCCACTGACTCTGGGTTGCAGAGCCAGTGCCACCCAGGGCTTCTCTCGGATGGGCTCTGCAGGGCTGCCCAAGCTGCTGTGCCTTTGTCCTGGGAATGCAGCCAGCAGCTCAGAGAGCACTGCTGGTGCCATTGTCCCCTGAGGCTTGATGCTCCCCACCCTCTGCCATTTCCCACTGCCACTTGCGGGATGTTACAGGGACCCCTGGGCCCACAAGGATGCTGAGTGGGGGTTGGTGCTCTCGGCGACCTGCCAGTTTCACACAGTCTCTCCTGTACAGAGCGTGCGGCTACTGGCCAGTGACTTGCAGAGGACTGATATCGCACAGCTGGACCCAGAGGCCTTGGGAAATATTAAGAAGCTCTCAGTAAGTCTCATGGTCACCTATCTCCCCGTTAAGTGTGTCTCCAGCAGCTCTTGGGGTGGCTGTCCCTGGGGCCGGGGCCACTAGCTAGACTCCCTCTGCCATCCTTCCCTCAGGAGGCTCACTGTGGCCCTGCTGCCATCACAGCATGGTGTTCAAGTGGGGCCAAGTTTGGTGCCTGCCCCTCGCGTTTCTCCCGTGCACCTGCATCCCCCCTGCACACGTACCCTCCACAGAGAGCTCTTGTGTTCTCACTCAGCAGTGATCTGCACATGGCTGTGGGGAACCAAATCTTAGTCTCAGTACCTACCACAATTTAGCTTCCTGCGTGGGTTGAAATTCTCCAAAGGATTTAATTGACTCAGCTGAACCTCCTAGCTGGGAGCACTTAGAACATTCCTGACTGTCGCAGGCAGTGGGATCTGAGGAGCGGGAGGGCAAAGCTGGTTTCCCAGACACATCACGCTAAGCTGGGCCCCATGCCCACCCCCAGCCGCCCAGACCTTGCAAGTCATCCTCAGGCCGGGCCGAGGGCATCACCGCTCCCAGCGTGCGTCACCATCTCAGCTGAGCTGCCGCTGCCCCTTTGTGCAGATGAGACGCTATTTCAGAAAGGCCCGTTCACGTGTGGTACAAATAGAGCAGAAGGGCTGACCTTCCCTCGGACTATTGCTTGGGGGCACTTGAGTGGCTTACACACGCAGGCCAAGTGCATACTCTTTAAATGACCCACACGTCTGCTTTGCTTTCAGAGCCGTCTCGCCCAAATCTGCAGCAGCATACGGACCCACAAGTGAGACAGCAGGCAGGACCGGGTGCGGCACAACCACAGCAGCTGGGCACACAGACCTCCTCCCCTCCTCCTCTGGGGGCACTGCATGGAGCCTCAGCATCTTTCGCGGCCTGTGCCCAGTTGTTTCTTTTCAAGCTGGCTTGTGGAACAGTTTTCCTGTCTATCCTATTTATCAAAGACCAAAACTCAGCTCGGAGGCAGCTTCATGTTTTGCACGTCTACCTCTCCAGCTAGTTAGTCTGTGGACAGAGGAACTGTAGAATTTAGCCTTGTCTGGGGTTTTGGTGACTGGCTGTCCCTAAGCTCTCTGACCTAGTTGTCCCTGCAAGGTGGGTGGGTTCTGCAGAAAGCTCTTCTGTCCCTCAGGGCCCATGGCCCAGATGTGACTGGAGTGGTGGCCTTACTCCACGTGTGGAGCCTGTGCCCCTGGGCACAGGTGAGTTCTATGAGTCGGCCCTTCTGCCCCCACAGTCCTGCGCTGCGGCCCAGGCACCGGGAGCCGAGTTGTCCCGCAGGCCTAGGGGCACAGTCTCTCCTGGAAGGCTCCGGGGGTAGCTTGTATTTTGTGACATGATCGATCACGTAGTGCAGGCCTGTGCAAACTGATTTGTTTTTAAATTGCTTAGTCTCCTCTTCCTGAGGTTTTTGTACGTACTGTTTTCCTAAATACTGGTATCTGTAAGCTGATGGTTCTGATCCCAGCTTCTCAAGGATACCCGCTTACAATAAACTCTTGAGTTGTTTTTGTTTTTGTTTTTTAGCCACTGTCTGTCTGTCATCTCCCAGCCATGCGACCTGGACTGAGGGACAGTTTAGGGTCCGAAGCCCTCAGAGTAAAGGTCTTGGGACAGCCACTGGTCTCAGGAGATGGGGGAGCCTTGTTTCAGGTGGCGTCTCCCCTGTCTGAAGGCTGGCTCACCCACAGGTCCAGGAACCTGAGCCTCTGGGCGGGTTTCCCGACACCTTAATCCCAGGCCAGAAATGTGCAGGTAGGACAAGACCAGAGTGGGCACAGCTCACCTGGATGGTGAGGGCTGGTCAGCCTGGAACTGGGTGAGGGACAGCAGCGATGCTTCTCAGGGCCACAGTCCTAAGGACCCTGGCACACATGCCGCCTCAGACCGTTGGCACGGCGGCCAAGAACTCTGCCTAAGGAGGACTCGGGGCTGTGCCGCAGCCTGGCTTCTGGATGTGTGCTCTGTTTGAAGCCCTTGGGTCAGTGAGCATGTGCAAAGAACAGCCCTGCCTCAGCCGCCCCCTCCCCCGGCTCCCGCCTGTCTGCATTCTTCAGGAGTGGCTTTGAGAAGAGCCTGACATGGAGGACACAGAACCCAACAAGCTCTGCCCAGACCCAGCTCCCCCCGACTCATTTCACAGCTCTGCCCAAGTTAACCCATTTGTACAGAATGTGGTACACTGCAGGTGCCTAATAAATACTACCTGTGACAGATTGTTCAGCACATTCTACAGGAGGAACCGATTTGGAAGATGGAAAGTTTCCATTCCTTGATTTTTAAGAATGGACTGAACAGTGACAACAAAAAACGGCTGAATGATGTCGGGGCTGGGATGTCGCAAACAAAATAAACCTCAGTGGCAGCCTGCAGATGGCACTTCATGCTCACGGCAGGGGTTGGGTTTGGATGTTTTTGGTGGTGTTGTTTTGTAAACCAGCTACTAACAACTTTAAAATTGGGAGATTGCACAAACACTTCCTATTAGCCTCCAAAAACACTAACTGGCAGGCCCAGTGCGGTACCCTAGTGGTTAAAGTCCTCGCTTTGCATGCACTGGGTTCCCATATGGGCCCTGGTTCTAATCCAGGTGGCCCCACTTCCCATCCAGCTCCCTGCTTGTGGCCTGGGAAAGCAGTTGAGGACAGCCCAAGGCCTTGGGATCCTGCACCCTCGTGGGAGACCCGGAGGAGGTTCCTGGCTCCTGGCTTCGGGTTGGCACAGCATCGGCTGCTGTGACCACTTGGGAAATGAATCAACAAATGGAAGAGCTTTCTGTCTCTGCTCTCTACTTGACTTTCCAATCAAAATAAACCTTAAAAACAGGAAGTACTAATTGCTACACAGGCCCACGGTCAGCTGGGGCTGAGGAGCAACTTTCGTTAGCCTGAGACAATCCGCTTCTGGTTCAAAGTCATCCATACGAGACTTTGATGTTACCCAGCTCATGCCTGTGGGCAGCTGAGTGTGTCCCATCCTCTGCAGCCGGAAAGCAAAAGCCAGGCTGCTGCGGGCGGGGGCCCCTGAGGCAGTGCCAGAAACCTCCAGCACTGCAGAGAAGTGTGCTCACCGCTTGCCCCGATGCTTCTGATGGGGCCTGCAGTGTCTAAAACGGCTCACAGGACAAGCCAGTTGATGTGCGTGGGGTGGAGTGGGATGTGAGACAGCCAGGCACTCTCCTAGGCAGTGTTCGTCAGCGCATCAGGGGTGAAAGCCCACTGCCACGGAGGCTGTTGACCTTACACACCCACGCCCCCACTCGTAAAACATGCTACGGTCATTGCTCACACCTGCAGTTCAGCGTAGGCTGAAGACTTGAGCGCTGTGGAGAAGAGTCAGCGAGGATTGGAGGTGCAGCTGTTTTGGTTTTTCTCTGTAGTCTTTCCCGTCATCACCTGTCCTTGGTTTTCACTTTATTAACTACCCCCACCCACCCAGGCAAAATGATCTTGGCTTTCCAAGATCATTTGTCACAGCCCAGAGCAGTCGAGTTCAGTTCCTGAGCTTACACTGCACATCCACCTGCAAGTGTCAGCCCTAACAGTAGCAGGCACCTGCTGGGTGCAGGCTCCGTGTGAGCCTTCCTTGCCAGTGTCCCAGGGCAGACTTGGGCACAGCTGTGCTCCTCATACCTCCACCCCACTCATTCATTCCTCCCTGAGGGAACAGGTGGGGACAGAAGGAAGAGCCTGCTGCAGTTGGTGGCATCTGGCTTCTGCAGATCTGCCCGCCTTACTGAAGGTGCCCCTGCTCTGCTCCCATCATGCAGAAGCTGAGCGTGCAGCTCTGCCCTGCCCACAAGGCCTGGAGCCATCCAGCTCATCCTCCGACCAGTGGGTCTAGCCCAGGGGAGTGATGGGAAACCTACTTTGTCCACGAGGCCCTGTGCCTTATCTAATGAAAATGTACATCGTAGAGATTCTTACAGGTGAAGTCGGGGTACGTCTTCAAGCTGCATGGTGTGGCATGCTTTAACGAGCTGTGGGGTTGCTTTCGTGGTCACACGTGTTAAACCAGAGTCATAGAAAGCACCATTCTCCAGCCTTCCGAGAGGTGGGTTTTGATCCCCATCGTCCCGGTGAGCTAGTGCTCAGCTGGCTTTGAGGGAAGGACAGTCGTGCTGGGGATGCCACTTGCCTTCCCTGTCCATGGATCCTGTGGGAGAGGACATCCCAGACTAGGATAGAAGTGCTAGTACTAGGCAGCCAATCAAGAAAAGCAGAGAGAGAGAGAAAGAGTCGGTGCCCGTGTGCCACAGCTGCAGGCAATCCTTGGCCCACAGCCCTCTGCCCACTCTTCCCGCACCACACTTCCCAAATGACTCCCAACTCCACCCCCTGTTCCTCTCATCTGCCTTTGCTCCCCAGCTATTACAGGTTGAACTGTGTACCCACTCCCTCAAATTCCTATATTGAAATTTTAAGCCCCAGTAAATCAGAAAGTGACTGTATTTGGAGATCTGATTAAGTGAGGCTGATCACGAGACATAATAAAAGGAGACATTTGGACACAGAGCTGTGGGACGGCACTTAGAGAAGACACCACTTGCAAGCCATGCCTGGAGCAGACCTTTCCCTCACAGCCCTAAGAACCATGAGACAATGGATTCCTTCTGGTCACAGCATCCAGCTGCGGGATCTATGTCCAATGACCCCAACTGACTAACATCATCAGGGGCAATATCCATCTGCCGTCCTCTTCCTGCCAAGTTGTCAGACCTGAACACCGAAACAAGCTCACCTTCCTGCTGCAATGCCCGATTCCCTTCTGGCTTCTCTCATGTTGTCTCCAGCCTTCCTTCACCCAGGTGCCTCTGGATGCTAATGCTGGGGTGTCTCCAGGGCTCCCTTCTCCCCAACATGCTGCCCAGGTCACCTGCTTGCCACCATGACCCCACAGCTCTATGCTGAATCCACCTCTGTGCACCGGGTTCCACACCCTGAGGCCCTGCCCACCTCCCCTGTCCCTGCCTGCATATCCCACAGCATCTCCAGTGTGTGCCCCCACCTCCCGTGCAGGAAGGGGCCCCCACACCCTCCCACACAAGCCACTCACTCAGTAATGAAACCCTGTCACCCTAGAGGCGGCACCTCACAGACAAGGTTTTTTATTACTTTGTCCTGCACACGAAACCCAAGAAATATAAAAACATCTTCAGGATTAGTTCAAGGAACCATGCCCCACAGCAGCGCCCTCCCTCCCTTGGGTGGGTTCAGACTGGGGTGATAGGTGGGGGTGGCAGGCCACCTCCCTCTGCCTGCTGAAGGAATTCCATATAAAAATAGATCTATAGAAGGCTGCCCGAGAGCCATCACCCTGCACTGGCACCTGGGCGGGGCGAGGCCTGGGGCCCTTCAGGATGCTGGGACCTCACGCCTCGGTGGAGGGGAGATCTACCCTGGACGCCGAAGTCCTGCCAACATAGCCGGGCCCTCCCCACAGCAGCTGGGCCCTCCCCGTAGCAGCCGGGCCCTCCCTGCAGCAGCGGGGGTAGGGGTCGGGGGGTGGCTATGATCTTAAGGAAGCCACCGATGTGGCTGGAGTGAGGTGGGGTGGGGGAGAGAGGGAAGGAAGTTCTGTCCACACCTCTGTCCCCTGGGTGCTGGGCCAGGGTCCCTTGGAGGGAGTGAGTAAAACAAGACTGCGGGGCACGTGGCGGGGGCCCATACCCTCTTCCCCGCAGCCCCGATACAGGTGGAGCCAGGACCCTCCAAGTCTCTCAGGGACCTGGGGTGGGTGCTCAGGGGAGAAGCGGGGAGCTGCTGCTGAGGCCAGGGCAAGGGGAGGCAAAGGCACTGCTGTGAGTCACCGGCCCCTCCACGGAGTGCTCCCCTGGGGTGCACTGCCTCTCCCAGTCCCCTGCTGGTCCTGTCATGAGCTGAGCCTGCCCACTCGTCTGGTCCTCACCTGCCATCTCAGGGGGATCAGTGCACCCCTCCCCCAACATGCACCAACAGAGGGTGCCCCTGTTACTTACTGGCCCTAAGCTCAGCTCTTAGGGCACGTCCTCTGCCTCCTGTACCCCTTCCTTCTCCCCAGCCTACCCCACACCACCCCCATGCACAGCCAGACAGGAGCAGGGTGACCCACACCAACTCAGGCTCTGAAGCCTGTCCAGTTCCAGCAGCTTCCTGCTGCCCCCATCACAGCCCTGCCTCCCTGGTCACCACTGCTGCCAGGAGGGCCATCTGGATAAGGAGCTTTGTAGTCAGAGCCAAGGATGTCAGAGGGAGGAGGTACTCCTGGGGAGGCTGGAGCTTACCACCTCAAGGAAGACTATTGGTGTACTGGGTATGCCTGGGACTCTGCCCAGAGCCATCCTCATCCCCAACCTGGGTTCTGACTCCAGCTCTGGCCAGCTCGGGGCCTCAGTTTTTCCATCTGTACAATGGAAGTTAATAAAGCCTGTGAGAGACAGAGGCCCGTCTCTGAGATTCTCTGTCCACTCCCAGGCTAGACAGCAGAGCTCTGGGGGACACTAGGAAGCTGCCAGCCACAACCCGGCC